GGGATGAGAGAGCGGGATGAGAGAGAGGGATGAGAGAGGGCTTCACGCCGTGCGGCCGCGCTGCCCCCCGCCCCGCCGCGGGCTCTCCCCGCCGCTCAGCCCGGGGGGGCAGCGCGGTCGGGGTCCCCCCGCCGCCCTCTCATGCTCCGGGGGCTGCGCTGGGATCGGGCAGCAGCGCCGGCGGCTCCGCTCCCTGCTCGGACCGGGAGCGGCGGGAGGGGCGGGACAGGACCGGGGCGGGGGCGGGCGGGAGCCCCGCGCGTCAGGTGCCGCCGGGGGAGGAGGAGGAGGAGGAAGGGGAGGAGGAGGAGTAGGCGGCGGCGGCGGCGGGGCGGCAGCAGCAGCGCTGCTTTGCTGGACGAGGCGAGCGCAGGGCAGGACGAGCTGGCAGCGGAGTCGGCGGGCAAAGGGAGATGATGGACGGGGGGGTTTCAGGCACGCACGGAGGGGAGGGAACCCACCCGCGAAGGGGTCGCGCAGCAGTGGGTGCAGACCCCCGGGGTGGGTGGGGGGTACCCGGGTGCAGCCGTCCCGCCCGTCACCGCCGGGCGGCAGCAGAGCAAAGGGTTTGCCCGGCGGGTCCGTGTGTCCCCCCGGCGGGTCCGTGTGTCCCCCCGGCACGGCGGTCCTGGGGCTGACGGGGAGCTGCACCTTCCCGCTGGAGACGGCCCGTGCCGTGGCCCCCGGCACAGGTTGCCCACCAAGAGGATGCTCTGACAGTCTGGCATGCCCCCCTCAGCCCCAGCGTCCCAGCAGGCGGATTCCCTGCCAGGCTGGTATGTCCCCCCCTAGCCCTAGAATCCCACCAGGAGGATGTCCTGCACGGCTGGCATGCCTCTCCTCCTCGTGCTCTTCCCCCCTCCACCAGTCCCACCATCCCACCAAGAGGATGCATCCCAGCAGGAGGATGCCCTGCATGGCTGACAGGACCCCCAGGCCCAGCATCCCACCAGGAGGATGCTCTGCCAGGCTGCCATGCCCACCTCAGTCCCAGCACCCCACCAGGAGGATGCCCTGCATGGGTGACAGGACCTCCAGAAACAGCATCCCACTAGAAGGATGCCCTGCATGGCTGGCATGTCCCCCCAGCACTCACCAGGGGAGATGTCCTTTCTATCTGGCATGTCCCCCCCCAACCCCAGCATCCCACCAGGAGGATTCCCTGTCAGACTGGCATGTTCCCCCAGCCATAGCCTCCCACCAGGAGGATGTCCCTCCAGGCTGGCAGGTTCCCCTTCGCCCCAGCATCCCACCAGGAGGATGTTCTGCATGGCAGGCAGTTTTCCTCTCTTGCCCCACATCCAGGGCTTCCAGCAAACATCCTTACCATGCTTAACCCTGGTCCTGACACCCCAGTCCAGGCATCCTGCTGGGGTTGCAGGCATGGGCTGCCCCTCACTAGCTGCTTCCCAAAGCAGAAGGGACAGGCAGGGTCTTGCATGCAGGGACAGCTCTGTGCCTCTGACTTAACCCTGCAGCAAGGCTTGGACACAGCAGCCTGTGACTATAACATATAGAGACATATTTCTGGCCAATTTTAAGGGGGTTGTGTTTTTTTCCCACTGATAAAAGCAGATCCTGTTTACACTGGTTTCCTCCCCGTGACCTGCCTCCATACATTGCAATGGGGATTGGCCCCAGTGTGGAGCAGGGGCTCTCCCTCAGCTTCTTTCTACTGTACACAGGAAATATTTCCTTGGAGTGTGTTTATCCATGATTTTTCAACTTTTCTTTCTTAAAGAAAAAAAAGTTATTTTAAAGGGCAGTCCAAGTGGACAGTGGAGTGATTTAACTGATGCTGTCAGAACATGGGAGATCTGTGGATACACTGAGTATGAGAGTGGACAAAAAATATTATAGCATATTTACTCCTTAATTTTCCTTGACAATGATTGTGGGAAATGACACATTTTTGATCTTCCTTATTTCTTTCATGCACTCTCTTCTTCCTTAACATTTCATCCTCCTTCCTTGAGCTAGGTTTTTGACCCTGCTGGGAACAAGCAAACTGGAAAATACAAGAAAACAGGAACAAATACTGCACCAGGACAATGTTCATAAGGATGGTTTTGCTTAAAATAACCCGCCCCACAAACTCTTTACTGCTTTTTTAATGTGAATTAAAAAAAAAAAAAAGCCTGAACACCCAACACTTGAGTCCAAATTACTCATTTTCCTTATGTTTTGATGAAAACATGTCAACCACCAAAATGAAGGATCGTTTTTCACTCGGGTGCTAAACTCAGCATGGGATGATCTCAACCCATGGAATTCTGCAGCCATATCTTTGCAGCAACACAGATTGTTGTCTAGATAAATATATCTCATCTAATCTATCCAGTGACATCCAGAGATAAAGAAAACATGTGCCTTTCTCCAGAGCTAGGGCTGGGATGAAGCTTCTCACGCACAGCAGGATTTTAACCACCTAGGAAGAAAAGGGAGGTTTCTCCCAAGTGACATGCTAGGAAAAGACATCAGGGTGAGGATTGTACTTGCCCTCATCTTGCCTTCCCTGGGTGAGCTCTCCTCCTCTCCTGCTGTCTCCAAAGACAACTTGTCCATGTTTCTGAGTGGTTTCACAGCAGGGTTTGAGCAGGATGTAGGGATGGGATGGGTGAACTGAAGGGTTGGGGGTAAGGCTGGGGGCTGCCACCTCATGAGCTTCTCAGGATAGATGGATCTGCCCCAGCCATGCTTAAAACCCTTGAGGCTGCACAAAAGCCTTTCCCCCCCCAGGCAGGGCAGGGAGAGATCATGTCCAGTGCTGTCACCTCAGCTCAGCTAAAGAACATCATCAGCTCATTACGATCCTTTTACCTCCTTGCTTTTCATCTGTCTCCCTGATTGTGTTTAAATCAGGGCCATTATTGTTAATTTAAACTAATGAGGAACAGGTTTACACTGATGCACTTAAACCCAAATAGAAGTGTTGGGGTAGGTCTGTGTGGACCAACTGAAGGGTTTGAAGTAAAAAGCACACAGAGTTCTGTGAGTGCCTGGGACCTTGACAATCTGCTGGGCTTGAGCTGGAAAGAGATACAGCTCCTTCCCTCTTGACATTTTAAATTTCTTTCTTCCCTCTTTTTTTTACACTTTTTTATCCTTTTGGGGCAGAGGTTATCCTAAGACTTAGGCAGATCAACTCCATGCCTCCAGGGTTTATAACTAGGAGAGACGTGCCCTGGGTGGAAGGTGTCTCTGCCCATGGCAAGGGGTTGGAACTGAATGATCTTTAAGGTCCCTTCCAACCCAAACCATTCCATGATTCTGTGATTCTTCCCTTGCTCTGCAAAGGAAGATGGGTCATGGTGCATCTGCCTGCAGCATTTCCTAGGTCCGGAGGTGGGAAAAATGGATCTTGCCCACAGTCAGTGCAGAACAGTGGCAAAATGATAATATCTAACTTTGTAAAGGTGGGTTTGCCTTGCCTTGGTCAGAACATCCAAAAATCCTCTGGGAAGCCAGGATCAATCTTCACTGCTTGTTCCTCTGAGGTCAAGTCCAGCTGTTCTAGCTCCTGTGTCCAGCTGACCCCAGGTCTTCCAGAACAGGCTAAAAGTGATTGCAAGGGATGACTCAAACCTGCCCTGCTGTACCCTGTGTTCCCAAACATGGGACTCCTGAGAAATTGGAGATCAGGTCACTAACTGGGAGAAGCAGTGGGCAGAACCTGGACTGGACGTTGCTGCAAAGCATTAGAATTAGGTGGAATTTTGATTTTAATTGTGGGTGTGTGAAAACTGTCCACCTTTGTTGGATTGTGGTGATACTCTTTTTCAACCTAAATGATTCTACGACGTTGTTTTTGACTTCGCTGTGGTGAATTATTTTTTTTTTATGTAAGTGAGGTCAGCTGTCCCTAAAATAGATGTGACAAGGACAGTGGGGATCTGGTCCAAGCCCCCTTTCCTGCAAATGGATTTGTCTATGCCAAAATCACCCTTCATGGTGGCTTTCCCTTCCTGCAGTGGAATCCCTATCCTCTTGGTTGGAAGGTCTCCTCTGGTCTAGTCTAAACTTCCTTTGCTTGTTGCCAGCTGATGCAGAGAGCAATTTATTACCTCACTCTTACATATTTTAATTTAATTTTTGAGCAACTGAATAGAAAAAAAGGCAAAATATATGGAAAAATAATCCCAGAATGGTTTGGGTGGGAAGGGACATTAAAGACCATCTCATTCCACTCCCCTGCCCTGGGCAGGGACATCTTCCACTAGCCCAGATTGCTCCAAGCCCCGTCCAACCTGGCCTTGGACACTTCCAGGGATGAGGCAGCCACAGCTCCTCTGGGCAACCTGGGCCAGGGCCTCCCCACCCTCATAGGGAAGAATTTCTTCCCAATATTCCATCTAACCCTGCCCTCTGGCAGTGTGAAGCCATCCCTTCCCATCCTGTCCCTCCATCCTTTGTCTCAAGTCCTTCTCCAGCTTTTCTGGAGCCCATTTAGGCCCTGCAAAGGGCTCTCAGGTCTCCCCAGAGCCTTCTTTTCTCCAGGTGAACCCCCCCATCTCTCCCAGCCTGGCTCCAGAGCAGAGGGGCTCCAGCCCTGGCAGCATCTCCGGGGCCTCCAACAAGTCCACATCTTCCTTGTGCTGAGGTCCCCAGAGCTGGACACAGCCCTGCAGGTGGGATCTCAATCCCCTCCCTTGGGAAGAGGGTTATCAAGCTCATTAACTCCTTCTTTCTGACCACATTCTTAGTGCAGGGCAGGTGGTTTCACAGAGCCCATCTGTGGTTTGCAGTGAAGACACTGAGGAGCAGAATTTCTTTTGGCTTTCTGGCTGCAAGACCTGACACAGAAAGAGGAGGGAACGAGGCTGAACCTAAATGGAGCCCCTCCAAACTCAGCCCAAAAAAGGGGCGTTAAAGCAAGGTGGCAAAGCATCTTTCAGGCCATCAGCAATCAGTGCCTGCCAACACAGGTGGGCTGTGGGCATTTTAGGAGGAGCAAATCTCCACCCCACGTCTCAGACACAGCCTA